CAGCCCCCCCAAGCCGGCCTCCGCATACTCTAGGCCGTGGCTCACTCTAGGCCTTCGGCCTCCGCTCACTCAAGGCCGTGGTGTGTGACGCTTTTCCGTTGTGAAAGCGAAACTACTTTGTTTGGCCTTCCAAAAGAGGAAGCACACCTTGCTTTTCAGACCGATGAGCTTTGTAAAAATCGACGCGTTTCAGAAAGGCGGGGCATAGAGGAGAAACAATCATGTACAGTATGTGGAAAATAATTTTTTTTTAACCTTAAACCACATAAACACATTTCATTACACCAAATACACAAAATAATGTTATTTTTAGCAGCATCATATGACCCCTTTAAGTATGGAAATGACACCCCTCGTGAAAAAGAAGTGTTCTTCATTTTATTAAATATGCAACTGTAATTTACTTAAAAGTGTTCATTAAAAAAAACTGTACTTGCAGATAATATAATGAAGTACAAGGCCACTTAAGTTTACTTTAAGAGAGACACTTTCATCATAGAACATCTTGAGTACACTTTTAAAAATTGCACTTTTTTAATAATTTCAAATGAAATGTTTTGCATGTACACTTATTTTGATGTGTTGACTAACATACTTAAGCATGTATAAAGTACTTGATTATAACTTCTATGACATTTAAAATTTATATATTTTAAATGTAATTAAAATTGCATTACATATTTAAAATTGCAACTTCATCATTATAAATGTGTAATTACAAATACATGACATCGAAGTTACAATAGAAATTACATTAAAGTATATTTTAAATTATAAATGCTTGTCAGTACATACAGCAGTACACTTTAACCATATTTCAAAGACAATGTTAGTAATTTTGAAATTACATATAAAGATGTATTTAAGTCCTACTTAAATGGGTCAAAAAATACTTTAAAGTTCAGCTAATTGTGTTTAATATTCATTTAAACTGTAATACATTTTTATTTTATTGCAATTAGTATGCAATTAAGTGTCTGAATTATGGTTTCATTTAGATGGTTTCATTTATAGTTTCATTGGCCTTATTACCTACAGCAACTGTACATGTGTAGTGTGCTTAAGTGTAAATGCTATGTGTTTTTTGTGTTTTAGGTGCATAAGGAGTACAGCAAGTGCCTGCGTCATTCTTACTGCTGCAGTCACACCTCCACTACGAGCTCTCATGGATCGCTGAAGAATTCTGCCCTTCGTGCCAACAACCGCTACTACACTGGCAGCCAGGCACGTCATGCAGCGGTACACAGACAGGTGACATACATGCACACTGACAGCATCGCTATTTATAGACTGCTGTTATATTCCATATACCAATTCACCCCGCTCACCTGTTTCAGAGTCGAATTCGTCGTATGTGGAACGACACGGTGCGAAAGCAGACAGAGTCGTCTTTCATGGCTGGAGACATCAACAGCACTCCCACTCTCAACCGTGGTGAGACCCTCCTTCTGCCTTAAAATTTCCCAGCATGCACCAGAGTCCATCTTCACCTATGTGTCTGTGTAGAAAATGGCCATTTTTTCAACTGAAATCAGTTCACTTAGTGGCCATATTATCAACTATTTTAGGCATGCAATACTAACAAGTCCTATCTACTTGAAATGGCGAATTCTCAAAAACTGCTGGCTCAATTCACTTTTAAACATTTTAGCATTAGCAGTAAAAGCTGTCCCATAAGGAAGTCGTGGCCTAATGGTTAGCGAGTCGGACTCGTAACCCAAAGGTTGCGGTTTGAGTCTCGTACCGGCAGGGATTGTAGGTGGGGGGAGTGAATGTACAGCGCTCTCTTCCACCTTCAATACCACAACTGAGGTGCCCTTGAGCAAGGCACCGGACCCCCAACTGCTCCCCGGGTGCCGCAGCAAAAAGATGGCTGCCCACTGCTCCGGGTGTGTGTTCACGGTGTGTGTGTGTTAACTGCTGTGTGTGTGCACTTTGGATGGGATAAATGCAGAGGACTAATTCCGAGTATGGGTCACCATACATGTCACATGTCACGTCATGTCATGTAAATGTAGTTTCTTGCATTCCAGCCAATGCACATGTGAAATGTCAAGGACAATGACTGTCTCTGTGGGAAACAAAGCTTCTGTGACTTTACCGATCGGCCATTGGCACTTACATTTATAAGGCGGGACTAATTTCACCATATTGCATGTTGCACTTTCTCCCATTCATATACATACAGTCTTTGGGTTCTCTTATAATATTAGTAATGTTTTTTTTTTCTGTGCAGCAGATTTAGTTTTTCCTTATTTTCTTCTATCTCTTTGGACCTTAGAATGCAATGGGCAATTTTTTACCCTTTTCACATGTGAAATGAGAAACTGTGCTCAAAAACAGTCTGCGGGTTTTGATGTCGTGATCAGTTGTATTTTTTCTGCCTATATTTTTTCATTAACAGCTTCTTTTCAAAGCCTACATTACATGAATACATATTCACTAATAATCTATGCTGAAATGCATCACACAGACTGCTAAAGTGTTTAGTTTCTGCTCTTTCCTAATTCACGTTTTTTAACTGATTTTCCCATATTTAAATTAGTTTAATTAAAATCTTTACTTCCTCATTACATGAACATGTTTGTATAGACCATTGCATTAGTGTATTAGTATTATGTATGTACTATTATAGCATTAAGTCATATTTTGAAATAGTTTTTTTTTTATATATTTTTAGCTTTCATTTTAATTTAAGTTTTAGTAATTTTGTCATGTGCTTTTGTCATTTTAATTAGTATTTTTATATATATATTTATATTATTAGCTTTAATTTATTTTTATTTCAGTTTCAGTTTTGATCATTTTAGTACTTGTGTCAAGTGCCAAGGGAACATTTTTGAGTTTTGTTTATTTCAGTTAAAAAAATTATTTCATTTTTAGTTTGTCACTAAAAACAACTCTTTTTTTTTTTTTTGCAGATTTGCTTTTTTTAAATGCATTTTTGACTTCAGAAAAAGGCATGTGTTCATAATACACTGAACTTTCAAACAGACATTTGGTTCTTCATGATCTGACCTTTTTTAATGTGTTCAGCACTTGGACTGTAAGGGGAGACTAAGTGATAGTTAATAGAGCGAGAATGCGAGAGGCAGGCTGTTTCCATCACCGGATCCTGAGTGTGGCGTCACCACCGTTCTGATCATCCCAGGGATCAATGTTTGTGGGAGGAGAGGGGGGCGACGACAGAGAAGCCGCAGCTAAATCAACCGCCACTCTTTATGCTAATTCTATCCATTTTGTTTTTAATGAAGTGATTAGCCACCGAATGAACGGGGGGTAATTACTCTAATTGAGGAGAATGACAGTAGCGTCCTCACTGCAGTGCGCCGATTGTTGCTTTCCGGGGACTTTAATCAAGGCGAGAGAGAAGAGAAAGTACGAGACAGAAAGGCAAATCTAAACCATATAACGGCAAAAAAAAAGAGAAGAATAGATTCCGGGGATAGGAAACGGCAGGGTTTTGTGCCGCGGGAGAAAAGTTTCTGGATGTTACAAGAGTGAATGGCAGTCAGAAGTAGAGATGGAGGGTAATGAAAGGGCGTGTGTATGTGCACACCGCTGTCTTTATCAGATTCATCTCCTATCGCTCTCATTTCCCACTTCACCACCGTGTGAAGTCTTTTCTGTGCTTCCAAAAGCTGCCGTCGTACCTCCACCTCCCTCCCGCTGGCCTAGATTCCCCCTCACATTTTATACACGACACTCCAGTGAAATATTTACAGGAATTAAAGGAATGTTCAAAGGTTCAATACAAGTGAAGCTCTATCGACAGCATTTGTGGTTTAATATTGATTAACACAGAACATAATTTTGACTCTGTCCTCTGTTTTTTAGAAACTATTGGTACCATCAATCTGAAGGGTTTAACAGAAAAAATCTGAAAACATGTGAAATGTTCCCCA